AAGTGCACGTTGTCTGGTCGGTTTTTCTAGAACCCACCTGCCTACATATGCTAGCGAACTCAAAGAGTCAGCCAAGTACCCGGTATTGCAAGAGACGCAGCAGCTTTCATTCATTACTCCTACTCATACAGATGCCCAGTTTCAGATCCTGGCCACTACAGTTCAAACAGTGCTAGTAACAACTGGTTTTAAAAGGAAAGTTGCTAGTAACAACTGGTTTTAAAAGGAAAGTTCTATTTTTTAATAAGATGTCAGAATTACATGGACTTGTACCAAGCATAACAGAATTGCATTTAACCAACATTGTATTTTACAACAATGGTAAGACTAATTTTCCACAAAGAATGGCATTTTCCCTATTGTGTTTATATTCTTTTTATTCCAGTAAAAAAGCACCCAACTCAATGGGTTTCTCAGGTAAGTTTCTACAAATTTAAGAATGGTCTAGGGGCACGGGATGAGAAATGTATTTTGGTTTTGATTAATTTATTTACTTTCTAGGAAATGTAGATAAAACACAAACTCTCAAACAGAAATGGTTTCACAAGTTAGTAGGAAGTAAGCTAGCTAACTCAAAAATTGTACTGAAACTAAGTGTGTTTCTTAAGCAGGAAGAAGGGAAGCAAGCTAATGACTTGAATTAACTTTGTTAGCTTGTTTGCTTTGCTCCTCCTCTAAGAAACTAATTGTCTTGAGTTAGAATAGAGGGAAGTTGACTGGCATGGAAAATTCCAGCCCCCTGCCTCTGCATAGACCACACGGGGGTAACACTTCATAGGAACAGTGGGTCTCAAGGGGAGTGAGTGGCAGTATATTTTCCATTAGCATTTCCAACTTCCAGATTGATGTTTTTCGGTAAGTTTCAGAAGGGATCAAAGGAGTCCTCCCATTGTAGGAGATTTTCTCCTCCGCAATTTATCAGTTCACAGGTAAGTGAGGAACCTCCACGTACCTTCTTGCCTTTAGAGATGTGAAAATGACTTCTGCAATGCCCAATCTCTGAGCAACAGAAATCAGAGTCCTGCTCTAAGTTTGCCTCTCCATAGGTCCATGGTTACACACCAGGACTGGGAAAATGCTGCTCCAGTTCACAAAGCTACTTGTTAAGAAAATATTGGTTCTGATTATTCCTGCAGTGAAGTGATAAACTGATGAAATGCTTTTGCACCCACAGTGGGTGTGCTTATGTGTGCATAGTCTGCCTGAAAGCAAAAATTATGAAAGGTTACTCAAAACACACATCCCATTTTAACTTCCAGAACTCTGCACGCAAGTACACTGCAAGACAGGCTTAAGAACTGCTTATTTGTAAAAAGTCTGGGAGCTAAAAAGTTAATGGTCTGTACATCTGGAGTAAAGCTCTCACCAGAATTGGCCAAGTCATCGCACAATTAAAAGAAAATTTATATCACTCAATAGAAAAACTCAATTACTCAGTGAAGTACCTCAAGTTTCCACATAAATATGAGAAATTCTCTGCAATTTGTCTCTTTCCTGCAAAATCCCCATGCCTGTGGTGACAACGTCAAACACTGAGCACCAGGACTCTGCAGCAGGACATCTGCACAGCAGACTTGCCCCAAATCTAAAAATCTACAGATTCTGCAGACCATACATGGAAAGTGAAATGGCAGCACTGGTTAAATCTGCTGGACTGACAGCACTGGAGAAGGAAGCCACTAGTTCAGAGACACACCCCACGCGGCAAAGCCAAAGCAGTGAGCAGAAGCTTCTACTAAAGTGCTACACATTGCTGGAATAAGGCAGGAGCTCAGCCTCCACGCCCAGGCACTCACGGGTTTCCTTTCAGAGACCAATAATATATGTCCCAAGTACTGTGGCGATTTCTGCAATGTGGATCTCTGTCTATCTAGGAATAGGACAGAGGCCACCAACTGCTTTCACACAGGCCAAACAGCTGTCGGATGGTAATGACTTGCAGCCACTGATGACCTTAACTGAGTTCAAACCAGCGACCTAGAGGCAAAAAGCTCTATAGATTATTCCAAGTCTCTTGAGCTGTCCAGTCCAGACTTTTAAGTATTTCTCACTAGCATTATTTTTGTTGTAGTAGCGTCAAGCAGCTATTCAGTATATAGCAGTCTATCAAGAACATAATGCAATTGCCCAAAATAATTAGCCTTTCGCAGGCATATTTACAGCTCAGCTTCCTAGAGTCTCTTCTCTATCAGATAACATAACCCAAACCACGAGATCATGGATAGTCTCACCTATTTTCAAGTCTCTCCAATTCAGCCAGGAAACCTAAATGATGTTTCAGACAGCACACATGGTCTCACCTACGCGTGTACAGGAGGGGGGTAAGGCTGTTTTCATCAGGGGTTCATTAAATTTCCCAAAATAAATTAGCTGGTTTTTAAAACTACAGAAGTGCCACAGTTAGCACTTTATTACAAACGCCTGTAGCTTAAAAGAAAAGCAGCTGTCATTTTAAAGATAAAATTTCATGGACAACTGGTGAATTTGAGATCTAGAGAAAAGAAGCACTACAGAAAAAGTAAGGGTTGGTTTTATTAGATGGGATTATGCCTCCTCAGTATTTACAAATAAATAACTGAAAAAAATCAACCAATATCCAAACATTTGTTAAAATATGCTGTATGCGTAGCAAAAAAAAAAAAAGGGCCTTATCTCACGCTCCACACACCTCTGACATAGAAGCTGCACAATCAGAACGAAAAACCCAAGTAACCCACAAACATGAATAGCTTTTCACATACGTAAGCCATCGCAGCGCCATGACAGATAATGTTTCGATCTGTGCAGCAGCGTCAATAGTTGAAGCCTAGCATAGAGAATAGTTTTCATCCAGCAGGAGTCCAGAGCACATTAGAACCAAACGAATATACAAACTAGGCAGATATTCCATCACCTATCACTGAAATACACTCATCTGTGGGATGAAATACCACAGCTACTCTGCCAACAATGCTGCAGTTTTTTCAGAGAGGAAGGGAAGAGCAAGCTATCCCAAGTTGAACTGGCAGGGGGGATACTCTAAATAGACCTGTATGTAATAATGCAAGGCGGGATTCTGCCAAGACAACAGGAAGGCAAGCCTACTGCCTGAGAAGTGGCATGGGAATTTTAAATGGCCCCAAACAGGAAGGAGTCTACAGAACAGGTGACTGAGTCAGGAGACCCTGGTTCCTGTCCCAGTTTTGCCACTGACTCACTGTGTGATCTCAAGCAAGTCACTTAGCCTATCTGTGCCAGACAACGTGAGGACAAAACCAAAAGCGTCACAAGCATTTACAGCTGCTGGAATGAATGCCCCCAAGAAGGGCCAAGGATTGCACGAGTAAGTTGTCTGGGTCTCAGTTAAGATGCTTCATGTAAAAATTCAGTATCTCACCCAACTAGTAAGTCACATGATCAGATCTAAAAGATTTAATCAATAGCACTTCTAAAAAGACCCCTACCTGGTACTGTGGTAGAGCCTTAGTCATGGCCCAGAACTCCACTGTGCTAGGAGCTGTACAAACAAAGGGAGTTTCAGTACAAAAAGTTTAGGAGGCCATGTGGTCAACCAGATCAGCAGTTATTTGCACAATCCCAGCAACTTGAAGAGATACACAATTAAGACACCTGCTTTTACTCTGGCTTATTTATGTTGCACCTTAAAAGATGGACAATAACTCACAATAGGTAAAATGTTCAACAAGAGTATTCCTGCCCCCAAAAGCTTCTTCTCCAAACACGAGCGCTCAGTATCTTCATTTCTTTTTTCCCTTTGCTATTATTCAACACTTAAACTGACAATGACTTGCTGTAAAACATTCTGATATACAATTTATATGAAAGATATGAAAGATATGATATAAGTATTGTGAATTCTCACAATTTTTTGCAAGTCTCTCAATGTATTTTTAAGCCTCAGCTCCTGGAGCCCTGTGATTACATGAGGATTTCAGCTTTCCAATTGCTCCTGCCCC